CATTCTTTGTCTTCAAAGTATAAGTAGAACACCTTAATGCAATGGTGGATTAAACTAGCTGGAGACTGGGTTTCATTGTAACTTGGTCATTTGCATTCAGACTTTGTTCCTTCCCAGATTTTACCTTTAAAGCCCTCCTCCTATTGCTTCCTACAAACTGAGAATATTGGAAGCTTTTCACAGGTTCTCAGTCTCATACTACTAGTGACTCAGTAGCAGTAAAAGGGGACATCAAGGCAAAGTCTTGGCTGGCTTCTTTGTATTGCCTTATTTTAGGAATCTTCGTTCTGTTGACCAGATTACCTTTTGTTTTTATTGTCCCAGCTAGCTGAGACTCCTGAAAGCTCCACTAAGCTTCTCTGCCATTACTTTTGCCCAATTTCTGTGCCTGTTGTGATATTTTCAGATTTGTAAGTGTTTCTAGGGTAAATGAGGCAGAAACTATTTGGCGCACCTCAGAAAGTTTCCTTTCTCTTTCAGATCTTGGTTCCTCGAGTTTCATCTTGGGGGTTCTCTGCTTTCTTAGAGCAGGTTACTCACATCTAAATTTTCTATTTGTCAAAGGAATGTTGGTCTGTTATAAACTAATTCATCAACTGTTATAAACCATAAATATATACTTGAGTGTGTGCATATCTGAGTTTATAATTATAGTTGAGCTCTAGTTATTTGATTGTAGTTGGTTTTACTGAAAATCCCTGTACCCACTGTTTAACCCTGAAAATTTACAAGAGTAGAGGGCTTCTTATTGAGAATCACACTATCATCAAGTTATAACTTGCTTTATTTTTTTCCCAGGATTTTGTGTCATGTATCAAGAACTACAGAAGAAAAGGACAGGAACTTTATGCTTCTTTATACAAAGAACATGTGCAGGTAAGAAAAGGGAAAACAGTCTTCCTGTTAATAGTAGACTACAGTACACCTTGAACCAGATCTGAAAAACCAAAATGACCTTTGAGTTCAAGTTCACAAAAGCCAAAAATAACCCACCTTGAATTTAGATCAAATAACCATGAAGATGTTTTGTCTGTGTTCTAGATTAAATATGTACTAAAGAACCATAATGATCTTTGTTCACAGTTCTAGATTCCTAAATCAACATTAGATTATCAATCATTCAGTCTTACATGAAGTGTACAATAGGATTTGGATTCACGTGGTCAGGAACTGAAGCCCTAAGGCAGCTTGTCCACTCAGTCATTGCTTCACCGATCCATGCAATCACTACATACTGATTCCAATGATGACTCAGATGCTGTGTCAGTATATAAATGTGAGTAAAACAAAGATGGGCCTTGCTCCCAAATAGCTTCTTTGGGGAGGAAAGATACACATTAAACCAAAAAGAAAAATCCACTGCTGACTCAAATCAACCCAATAGGACAAAGTAGAACTACTTTGTCTACTCCAGAACTCCCTAGAGTTTCCAAGGTTATAAATCTTTGTTAAGATATCCTCATATGTCTCCTGTGGAGTGAATGCTTTATTCGAACTGTTGACTTTGCAGTTGGTAGACCTATGCGTTACCCACTCTACTCCCAGGGCTCTTTCTATGCATTAAAAAACCTCACAAATTAGTAGATAGTTATAACTCATGATGAGTACTAGCCCAGGTAAATAGAGGGAACAATGAGCAAATAATGGAGTAATAATTTAATTTGAGGATCAGAAGATCCTCTCTCCGAAAGTTAGAAAAAACCTGAGATCAAAAGAAAAAGAGATAATTAGTAAAGTAGTTTGGGTGAGGCTCAGAGTTGAGCATGTGTGGGAGTCTTATGACAGAAAAGAGATCAGTGGCACTAGATTGTAACGGCCTGAAAATGACTGGTACAGACGGCCCAGGGACAGAGTAGACTGTTATTAAGATCCCATTAGGTTTATCTGACAGACAAGGTTTACAGACTAGAAGACCTCTTTATATGTGGTTTTTCACACTCTAGGAAAAGAAAAACATCTTTCAAACCACTCCGTTCCCTATTGTAATCACTTCCTGTGGCTGTAATCTGAGCCATTCTGACCCCCTCTTTAAAATGAGGCAACAACCTAACTCCAGATATTAAAGAACAAGTGTAAAACACCCACACAGCGACTGACAGAGAATAGATGTCCCAAACGGGAGAAACAAAAGATTTATTTTCAGGTAGTATCACTCTTGTTAGCAGGAGAAAAAAATGGGATTCCTAGTAATAAAACATAGTGTGCAGTATTAGAATTTTGTTAACGGTATGACTTACTGAGAAACTTTCTAGTTCCAAAGTCTGTGTTGTTGATGTTGTCAGGCATCATTGAGTTGGTTCCAACCCACAGTGACCCTGTGCACAACAGAGCATGCACTACTTAGTCTCAGGCCATCCTCACAATTGTTGTGTTTGAGCCCATTGTTACAGCCACGGTGTCAATTTATCTCAAGATCTCCCTCTTTGTGGCTGACCCTCTAGTTTGCCAAGAATGATGTCCTTTTCTAAGGACTGGTCTTTCCTGATAATATGTCCAAAGTAGGTGAGAAATCTTGCTGCACTTCTTCTAAGACAGATTTGTTTGCTTTTTTTGGCATTCCATTGTACTTTTCAATATGTTTTACTAACACCATATTTCAAATGCACCAAGGTTTTGTTTGTTGTTTTACCTTCACATACAGATGAGTCTATTGAAAATACCCTGGCTTGGGTCATATGCACCTTAGTCTTCAAAGTGGCAACCTTGCTCTTCAAAACTTGAAAAGCAATATTCGTTAGAACAGAGGTGGTGGGGAAAGGTGTTGGCATTATACAGTATGTGCTCTTTGCTGTTTACAGAGGGATTACAGGCATGTGGCATATCTCCAGAACCTATACTTTGAGACAGGTTTCACAGTGGGCACCCACTTGCATAGTTGGGTACTTGCCTCACTGGTATATTTGGGTGTGTCCATGCCCATTAGAACACTTCAAGATCAGTGACTCATTACATGTATTTACCTTCTTTATTCAGGACTAGCAACATGGGGAGAAATTCTGTTTTCATCAAGGAAAAAAAGCAGAATGAGCTGGACATGAATCCATCCTTTATGGATGCTATGCATAGTTGTACTATTTTTTGTTTGGTTTTAGGCAGATTATATTGTTTATCTAAATTTCCAAATCTAGTCAAGAAGACAGCTATTTCTTTCTGTTTTAGAAGAAACTAAACGGCCTTGTATGATGAAGTGAGATATATACTCTTGTACTTTTATGGGTTTCTGTTGACGTTCAGGATAGTTTAGGCTCATGTGAAAAGGGGACTCAAGAGAAGGAGCAAACCTTCAGAAGGAGCTCTAAGCCCATAAAAAAGGGATCCTGACCTCTGGGAGAATCTCCTAGGACTCCCTCAATCTTATCTCTGCTCCTTTCTTGGGAAGGACCTCGGTGGTTGTTCTGAATAGAAATAATTCCTTAAAAACATTGGGTCCAACTTGGGTTTACAGAACACTTGAGTAAGTTGTGCAGAGGTTTACTTTTTATGGAGGTATTTTCAAGAAAATAAGTATTGGGGGGCTAATTCACAAGATAATTTCAGATTGTTTCAATGTGCAAAATACATTGTTCTGATATTTTAGAGGATGAAGATGTAATCACTGCTTAAAAGATAACAGTGTCTATCTAGATTGTACTTTCCCATGAAGTCCCCCTCTATCTACTACCAGGAAGACAAGTCCACACTCTGAACCTAATTCGGGCTTATGTAGTCGGCCATGTGCCTCAAAGAGTACATCGTACCAGGTATGCCCAATGTGGTCCTTCTCAAGGGAATAATGAAAAGATTCAGAGGGCTGAGACACTGTATACAATCCATTGAAGAGTAGTTCTTGAACCTTACGCTAATGGAGAGCTCATTGGAGTTGCATGAACCCAAATCTTGGAAGTAAAATTATACCAGAGCTTGAAAATTAACCCAAGTGTCCTTCTATACCACAGCTATCAACAGCAAATATTTCCATTATGATATTTCTAATAATTCTCTAAATCACTCCTCACTTAAGAAGTTATATTCATTCTCCTAGTTGATCCAACCTCTTTGTCTTGATGTCGTCTTCTTAGGCCAGCTCAGTTTCATACCGAGACCTCATTGTTACTTATAGATATGCTTTCTCCTGACTATGCTTGGATGTTTTTGTTTTTGTTATTAGTGTGTTTGGTTTATATACTCTTTACTAGTTGAAATTCTTTGAAAGTGACTCGCCACCTCAAAAATGGCCTTTCTCTTAATCTGTGTGGGGCCTCTGGCCATCTCACTCTCTTCTGGGCCAGTAACAGGCCAACTAGCTGTTTCTCCCTCATTCTCTGTGAGTATATACGCATTAGAATCCATCAAAGCCCTTTCAGATGCACAAATCAGGAGCTCAGCTCAAATGGCTTAGGCACCATTTGGATGAAATTTGTGGACTTATTTTACTGAAAAATCCAAGATAAAATTGGGCCACAAAAAGCTGGATCCAGGTATTCAAATCTTGCTTTTCTATATAATAGAAACTCACAGATACATTTATTGCATCGTCTAGACAAAACAGTATGCTCAACATTCATGATGTTTGGCCAGTCCTCCTGCATGTCCTAATGACCCCAGGTATGGAATAGTTTCAGATGCTCCTCCAACTTATGTATGTGCTGGAGCATCAGCTCTCTGTGACCATGGGTTTTGGGGAAATTTAACCCATCTTTCAACTGAAAGCCAATAATTGTTCCTATATACTTCTTATAATAACTATTTATGGTTAGGAAAAATGAATACGCTATTTAGCCT